CACTGAAGTAATTTTCATTGAGCTCTGAACGTTTGAAAATTGCAAATGTTATTAATAATGCGAGGAATGATTCCTCGCAAAATTATAAAGGTCATCTTGTATCACCACTAATTTACATCTGACCTCACCTCATGTGTAGTGTCCTAAACATTTCTGGGAGGTTATTAGTTAAACATTGGGGCGAAGTACCACTCCCCTAAGAGGTGGCTTTATAAAACACTGGTCTCAAGAGTGTGTACTTCGCAGAGAGGATAAAACCCTTGACACATACACATTATTTCCTAAATAATTTCTTTCGACGTGTGGAACGTTGAAACGCCAACGACCTATGAGTGACAATTGACTCTCTGCGAACTATTTGCGGTGTCTGTGGGAGAGGGGAGAGAGAAGCACGGCAGACTTTGAAAATCATCAGAGCTTAACATCGATAGTGGCAAAACTTACAAAATACGAATTTTGAGTTAACGCTCCAGAATTGAAGATTACTCTATATTCCATCTGCAAATCTTAGAGTACAATATTCCACTCACAAATGGTAGAAGTGTGAATGTAAGAATGATGCATTCCAATAGAAGATCAAACTCTAAACCTTTGCTAAAACTAGAACATCAAACTCCAACTTTGGACTGCCGGTCCATAAATTGCATTATAGTCTCGTGATGACGAGCCTAATGATGTATCAATTGCATTTTTCGTCTTCTACGTCAGTCTTACCACCCATGCATGCTAAGGAGGGGAGGTACCCAGAAGAGCTAAATCACCAAACATACAAAATAAAGTTCAAAAGGGCCTCATTTCGTAGGATATTGCGTAAATAAACACACCATTGATTTTCCCTCCCACGCATGTTTGCTTGTGTGTTCCCCACCGTATCCCCTACATGTTTTTCGCACGTTACCCCATAGGTTCCCTACACATTTTCCGGCACGATTTCAGTGCGCTGATACGCAAGTTTCTCACACGTTCCCTAGCATTAGTCTAGCATGTTTGCTTTTGTTTCCTACACGTTTCCCAAATGGTTCCCACATGTACACCCTTAAGTACCTCTGCACATTTCCCATATGTGCACCAGTGTTTCCCCGTATGTTCCCCATGGAACCCCTAACTTTTTGTCATATGTTCACCGCATGTTCCACCCCACATTCCTCCACAAGTTCGATACCCTATAGCCGCATGGTCCCACACGTGTTAGTCTGGAAATTAAACCGAAAATTCAGAAATTTCATTTAAGTGTTTTTGTTGTGAAATACTTTTATAAATGTTACGGCGTCGTGTAGTGCAGAAAATGCCAAGTTATTTTAATTCAGCCCTTAGAGCTCGGTCCGAGAGTTTGGACTTTAGGCTCGCCCTCTGGGACCCTGAACACGCGGTCGCCTAGTTACTCGCCCACGCGCGGAAGTCTTACGCTGTGCTTTTCTGTTGATAATGCCATGCAAACTTTAAAACAGAGCTTTCACTTCGTATTTATTGAATTGAATACGTTTTAGCCTTGGCTTCTCCTCAATCTTTGACCTCAAGGTACACCCGTGCTAATCTATAATTGCTAATCGGGAGTAGAAATGGAAAAATTAATACCTACTATGTATTCATAGCTCCATGGCTCTATCCATCCCCTCATACGATTTCCGTTCCCGTGTCCGAGTGATTGAACGATTCCTCATTCCCGATTGTCTAACTCTATTCTTCAGGGTAATGGTAGTCTGCAGAAGTGAGTGTGTAGAGATCCTGCAAAAATAAGGTCTGTAGCAGGGAATAAAAACAACTGTTAACACAACACTTCAATGAAATTGAATTTAATTGAATTTAAACGTTAAAACATGGATAATTCGTAAAAAATAAACTAGTGGTGCTACAACAGCACTTCTCGAAATGTTTGTATTGCTACGCAATACGTGCTTTAATCTGCAAAAGTGTTTCGAACCAGCAATTTCTTTTTTCAGCACTAAGATTCAAACTCAGATCCTTCGAGTGAATAAGTACATTACCGGGACATACACCATTCGCATGGCTATACTCAGTTTTCTCGATGCTTAAAAAACTAGTGGTTACTTGCATTATTTCTAATTTATGCACGTTTCGAACATTCAGAGAGTTCAACGAATATGCCATATTTTATGCGCCATTTTTAAGTACAATTTTTAATGCGTTCCTTTCTCTATCCAGAGGAAAAATGAAACACAAAATTTGAAATCGATTTTACTTACTAGTATACGTACGTAGCACATAGGAAATTTTAGGAGGTACTGTAAATGAGGCTCCTGGATCATTTAAAAAAAAAGTAACAAAATGTACGCATGTTTTCTCGGTAGGTGGCAGTGATCTTTCCCTCGCTGTATGGCAAGATCCGGCGTCGACCTACCGACGGCTAGCGTGGTTTTCCCTAACATGGTATCTCCCACCAGCGGGGCAGCACCCCAGTCGGACAAGCCCTAAGGTCGTGACCGGTCTCCCAGCATGTGTGCTTGTGCAGTGCGTGTTCGTGTGAGTGTAGGGGAAAGGATAGGATAAAGAAGAGGAAGGAAAGATCGCGCGGGTTCGTGGCCCGTTTGGAACGGTACTGCTCAAGCATTTGCCTGGTGTTGATCGGAGAAAGCACGGATAACTACCGATCAGAGCAGCCGTAAGCTAAATTATCCTCCTGACAGAGAGAATGCGACCTAGCTGAATAGCTAGTGTCAAAAATCCTGCCACCGTCGGGACTTGAACCTAGGACCCAGAAAGTGGGTCTGCAGTGGCATCAGTTGATGCCCTGACATCAGTCATCTTTCGGTCGAATCCAGTCGCTGTCTGGAGGAGAGTTCTAGAGGCCGGCTACTCTGATCGATAGTTTTCCGTGGTTTCTCCTATCAACACCAGGCGAACGCCGGAGCAGTACTCAGTCAAACGGGCCGCGGACCGCGCGCGATCTTTCCTTCCTCTTCCTTGTCTTATTCTCTCCACTTGCATACATTTACATTAACATCCACTACACTACCACACATACCGGGAGACCGGGCGGGAGCTCAGAGCTTGTCCCGGCTGGGGCGGTGCACTGTTGGTGGGAATTACCTGGTTAGGGGAAACCCCGCTAGCCAACGGTGGGTCGACGCCGCATCTCGCCATCCAGCGGGGGAAGACCACCTCCACCTCCCGAGCGAAAAATGCGCTACACTAACGAGACTATTGACCTTAATAGTTGACGTGCCCGGAATCACTAACAATCATTCAATCTTAAATCACTTATTCAATCGATTCAGATAAATAATTCTCTTTTTACACAATTCAGTAGCTTGAATTCACCCTTTTCAGGAGTTCAATTGACCCTTTTAATTGTTAACTCATAATCGTTCTCAAGTAAGTTTGTGATATGATTACGTAACGCAAATTTGGAGTATTTTGAATACCCCCTCTCCCCCTGTAACACACCAGTAACGCGCGATTGAATCCCCCATAATAATTACGTAACAGCCCCCACCCCCTTCATAAATGCAAAAAGTAAAACAAATTATAGTTCTGTAAAAATAAAATATTCATGTCAATCATTCAGTAACAACTTTTAATAACTAAATATAATTTAGTTTTAAAACAAATTAATTGGATAATATTTTCGTGTTTTAGTGTGACAAAAAGAAGAAGTACTTCAACAAATGTTAAAAATGCAAACAAATTTCAGAGTTACATAACACTAATGGAATACCCCCGTACTCCTATGTATCAGCATAATGCTACCTCAAACTCCCTCCCTCCTTTTGAGAGTTACGTAATTTATGGATGGCCCCTAACATTTTTCGATGGGTTCAGAACCTAATATTACTAAATAATGTGAATTTATGCTACCACAAAGATGTCTTCAATGTGAATGCTGAATAGCATTTCTTCGCTCGCAATGTGTGTGCGGGGAAGGGAACTAGTGACACAATGAGTGGAGAGAGGCTATAATACTCTTTATAAAAGTTTGCCTACAATTCTGACAAGAATCTATTAATTTACCCTGGAAGTTATGTAAGTGGATTGATGATAATGTGAAGAACATTACTTTTATATTTTTAGCAATCCTGAATATTTAGCAAGAGGACTATTGCAAGAATGATATAATAAAAAAACAATAGAAGCACAGAGAAAATACATAGTTTCATTTCTTAATGAAAAGGGTATTAATGATACTGTTTGTGAAGTAAAAGAAAAATATATTTAATAAATTGTATCACACTCTTATTCTTTTAAATATTCTGTCTGTGTAATACTAAGTTGAATCCGTTTAAAACTTTTTAATTTGAATTTAATTGCCTGTGAAGATCATATGTATATATCTGGCACATAGTAAGTTGTGAAGGTATTCTTTGTATATTGCTCTGTGAAAGTATATTGATGGTAATAGTCTACAGCTGATTGGCACATGCTTGCGGGGTGATACTCTAGCAGGCTCAACAGCAAAACAGCAAGTAGACATTTCTATTGTATTTAATTTCTCGGAATCATCTCAGTGTCTCGGTTTTTAACTTGCCAGGCTTATGTAAAAAACTATTCAGAGATTACAGTGGTATTTTTTCAAATTTTTGAACTGTCGATTTAAGGAAGAAATTTAAGAAATAAAATTAATATAGGTCAAAAAATGTTTTTCTTTTTAAAAGTTAGTGTATTCAATTCATACATCAAATAAAAGAACATCTTTTGTTCTATAATGTCACAAAATATTAAATTTTAGTCACAATTACAACATGAGTTAAAAATTATTAACTTTACCAAGGCGAACATTTTTGGGAAAATTTTGAAAATTAATATAATCTCGAAAAATAATACTTTGGAAGAACTGAAAAACTCGTGTTTCTATTTTTACTTATACTTTTCACAAAAAAGTTCAAAAATCTGGGACATGAAGGTCAAATTTTCCCTAAATTTGTGCGATTTGACGTGGAATTACCCAACTGTAATGTGGACCCAAATTGCGGTGTAGCAATTTCCATTCAAAGTTACCGCGTAAAATTAAACCCGTAAAAGTTAGCCAACTGCTCGAAACAAAAATTAAGGTTTCACTCATTCCGTTGTCAGAAACAGAAAGCAGCAAGCTGGCAGCAAGTTGCTGTACCACGTGGGCCGCATTGCTGTGTAATTCTCGTGTAGGGTTGAAGATTCAAAGAGATTGTGTTTTATATTTTGTGGTTTTTAATAGGAAGTACTTAGGAATTTTCAATCATGCAGCATGATGACGTAAGTTGTAAAAGTATCAAATTGGAAAAAAATTACCTAACCTATACTTTCATATTTAAACTTCATATTTATTTTGCAGGTTGTCTGGAGTATTATTAATAAAACATTTTGTTCTTATAAAGTGAAGTAAGTAATTACGCTAAATTTGCTCTATTCATTCCTATTTGCCCTTACTATTGTACTCTAATACATTTTTTCTTTTGTAGCACAAAGTCTCAACAGTTTTGTAGAAATGAATACAATTTAACTGGAATGTGCAATAGGTCATCATGTCCTCTTGCAAATAGTAAATATGCTACTGTTAGAGAGGAAAAGGGTATTATTTATTTATACATGAAGACTGCTGAAAGGTGAGCAAAATGTTTAATTGGTTAGTGAACTCTGTCAATTTGTCATTGTGTTAGAATTGAACAATATGAATTGTGTACCGTATATTTGTTTTACAGATCTCATTTTCCCAAAAAGATGTGGGAAAGGGTAAAATTGTCTCGAAATTTTGAAAAAGCTATTCAGCAGATCAATGAAAATCTTTTGTATTGGCCTGGTTTTGTCATCTCCAAATGTAAACAGCGATTTGTCAAAATAACAAAATACTTAATAAGAATGAGGAAACTTACTTTACATAAACCGTGAGTACCAGTGACTTACATTTTTATCATATTTCATTGTTTGAATGCTTGAAGATGTACTTTATTCTTGTCAATTCGTGTGTTATTGATATCTATTATTGATTTTATTAAACAAACTGACGATGGCCGCAGCATGGCTTCTTCGCAATCTTCAGTGCCCATTTTATTTAGTGACGTTCTATGCTTTACTTTAAATAGGGGTCACTAGTGTTGTGAGTAAGTGATCACCCTAGCTTATTTTCAAAACTTATTTTTACAGTCAGTACCTTACTGATATTGTCAGTGAAGCTTTAGATCACTACATTACACACACAGTTTGGTAACCGACATTGACATTTACAATATTCACTAAAAAAAAATAGTATATTTACAGGTGAAATGTAACACTTACCAAAAAGTTGTTATTTTCTCAGATTTTTAACTAAGTATTGCAGAATCCTATTAACGTTCTGAGAGGAAGTTCTGAACACAGTCATGAGCATGACATAGGCAACTCATCAGTTGAATTTTGGAAAAAATGCTTTATTTTGTATAAGCAAGCAAAGAAGTCCTCAATATTGTTAAATACATTGGGGCAAATTTATCATCTAAGCAACGGGAGTGAAGGGGCTGTTTTATTTATGCAGCTGAATGGCAGAGGTGTTAGTCCACAGGCATATTTCCACTGACTTAAAGGTGCAACAGTACTGAGTGGATGGCTGCACAAACTGAACACATCAAAATATCTTCATTGGCTTGTTTGATGAGAATCTGCCAAACCATTCTAACAGCACTGGAATTCTTAGATTTAAAAGCATGTAAAAGTCAGCTGTTGTGATTCACCTAAGAAATAACGGCCTAAAAAAGTTAATTGATATTAACTACACATAGTTTTATTGAATTTGGGGTAATATGTTGTAGTGTGTCTGTTTCTCAAATTTGTTCATTTTTCATATGGAATTAAATGAATCTAACTTTCAAACATGTAGGGAATTGTAGTACTCGACCAAATGTATTGAATATTGCATTGTTTCTGTTTTAACTCATTCATGTCTTTTGACATCTCCCAGATGGAGTTGTAGGCAGATTGTGTGCAACGTATTTCTTTTTACGGCTTATTCTGGTGTGTATCCTGCCACTGTGTTGAAATTTGGTGATCTCATTCCTAGTCCTGTAATTTTTAAATTAAAGTACTGCAGGAAGAAGATAGGTCATGGTATTTAAATCTGAAGTAACAAATGCAACAATAATATTTCTGACTGAAAACATGTATTATAACTTAAAAATTTAGTTATAATTAAACATTCATGAAATGACAATACTGTCCCGGTGGCCACTTTACTCTGGAAATTTCATAAAAGGCTGTTCTTACTACTCTAATTTTCTTCTGTCCTGCTCAAATAACAGGCTATATGTGAATGAAGTCGTACACTATAGTACGATTTATTTAGTCATGCACTTATGGTAAAGCAGCTGTTGCAGTTTCATCCAAACAGGAGCTTATATGTCACTACAGTGATGTCACTATGGGGATGTTCAAGCTCCCGATTGAAATTAAATTGTGAACAGCTGATTTACGTCAAGTGCACGGTTAAATAAACCCTAATATATGATATGAAATCATACTTATAAAACTGGCATAGAAAATGTGTAGTCACAATCTCCCATGTACAGTAGCACACTGTTGTATATACGTGATATCTTCTGTACTTAGGAAAAAGTAACTGTTCACTGTAAACATGTTATTGTAAATAATCTGAGTTTAATTTAATTCAATTAATTTCTTTTTTATTTAACTTGAAATTTATCCCAGTCTTTATTTCATTGAGTCATGTTCAGTCCTTGAGTCATTGTTTCCTGGAAACTGCTACAAGAAAGGCTTGATCATCTTCATAACCAGCTATTTTCTTCTTCCTCTCCTGAAGTTTCCTTGATTATTGAAAATGTCTTATATTTTTAGGAAGAAACTAATACCTCTACAAAGGAAGATTGAACGTAGAGAGAGAAGAAGGGAGGAGAAAGCACTTGTGGCCGCAAAATTGGATACTGCAATTGAAAAAGAGCTCATGAAGCGTCTCAGAGAGGGTGTAGTAAGTATTTTTAAATTTTTTTTAAAATCTCTAAGCTCCTTGGTGAGCGTTGAGTGCTTTGCGCTTGGGGTAATTTATCCTCCATTAAGATTGTCATGTTTCATCGTCAGTTAGTTGTCAGGACCGCCAGGTAGCATCTCTGCGTACACGCCACTTACTACGCACTCCTGCATCACAACCCAGCAGCCAGATTTAGTAAGGAATTAGGATTGGGGGAGGGTTTGGTACACTTCACAGGGGTTGTACTTGCCCTTGTGAAGCAGCCTAACTGGTTTTGTTGGAACAAATTTCACATGAGACTTCACTCTGTGCCACCAGATGACTTCTTTCGTTCTTAAAACTGAGATTTAAGTTTGTGCTTTGTTTTAAGCTAACTGTGGTTTTTGAAGTAACACATCATAAAATTTCAATAAGAATAGCCTACTTCTACTTATTTACATAAATATTGTACAAAATTTTGCATTAATGTGAAACAGAGTTAAGGTATTTAACAGGAGTTTTCGCTCTGATTGTATTTTGAAGAGACTCTGTGTGTAACAGGATTTCTAATTTAGGGGAGAGAACAAAAAGTCTTGTCATTTCTCAATTTCAATTCTTTTATGAAGGTATATTATGAACATCTCTAATTTACCTCTGCTTGTTCATATTCCTGTAATGTTTAGTGGGATGATGCAGTACTGAAGGCAATTACAGTATCCAGTGATTGCCAAGATAATAGTGAATACAGTTCATACTCTCCCTCTCAGCATGCAACTACCTTTATTTCCTCAACTGTCCTTTTCTTCTAAGACATCCTTTGGCGTCCCTTGTTCATGGTCCCACCTTTTGGCTATCACTGTTACTGTATTCACTTATCCCTAAACTAACCTATTATAAGCACTTCTCACTTTCACATCACTGAAACCTCTTATGCCTTTCTCACAATCATGAATAATTTCCTTTTTAAACTGTTTTCAATTACACATGATGTCTTGTAATTTGCTTGACTTATTAGGAAGAAAGTAAATTGTGTTTTAATACATGTAGGGCTCAAGACAATTTTGAATTTAAGGTAGAAAATTGAGGAACATAAAACTACTACAGAAGTTAATGGGATTCTATCTTTGTTAGATGATGGTGTTGTAATATTTTTGTAATATAATTGTAATATTTTTGTATGTGATACTACACTGTTTTATTGCTATTAGTGTATGTTTTAATTGTACACTGTCAAGCTGATGTTTACAATTTCAAACCCAATTGAAGTCTTCAGATTTTTGACAGCAGAATGTTTTCCTGAAAGGGAAGTAACGTAATCTGACCCAATACCATACATATTCAAGATGTTAAAGTATTTCAAGTTTAAAAGACACCTCTGAGCTCTTTTTAAAAGTAGGTTTTTCCTGCTTAAAGTAATACCTTGGGGTAATAAGCCCTTGCCCTGATAAGCAGCATCTAATACTGTGAAGCAAGTGCTATTAAATGCTGGTATATGGATCATCAGATCTTAAAATATGATTACAGTCTAATCTTATACTTACAGTCTAATATGATTATATTTTTTAAAATCATTATTATTATGTTGTTTTGCATGTTAATCTAACTTTTAAGAAAATTGTAATTGACAGTGTAGAGCTCTGAAGTTTTAGATGTGTAGATGTATTTTTCTGTAATGAAGAAAATAACATTTTAATAAGCAAATTGTTTGTTTTCAGTATGGAGATATTTACAACTTTCCTCAAACTGCTTTTGACAAGGCTTTAGAAGAGGAAGAAGTTGAAGGAGAGGAAGAGGATTTGGAACAGGAAGATGATGTGAGTTATAACTTATATTTTATGTAAAAAAATAAATTGCATGTGATCATTCACTAAATATGTGTAATATTCTTGTAGGTGGAGGTACCAGACCAAGAGATAGAAAAGCAAATAATGGAGACTGATGCTTTTGTTGCTGATGTGAGTATTTTATTTGAAAATTCATTTTGTTTCACTTTACAACATAAGTAACCAAACACTGCAATGCACTGTCCACAATTTTCTCAGATTATGTAGTTACTTTTTATTACTAGCTGAGGTGGCTCTAGGCATCAACTGCCTCTGATCAGGAGGTCCTTGGGTTCAAATCCTGACAATGGCAGGATTTTCGACACTAACTAGGCAGCTAGTTGAAATTCAGCCACTCTGGATGAAAATTCTTGTGGTTAACTACTATTCGCTCACATTTTCTTTCCTCCAGCTCCCTAGTTCTCATTCGGTCCAGTAGAAAATATGAGTTGCACTCAGAACGTCACAGCTCAGTTTGCAGTGATGTCCACCTTCTTCCTTTACATGCGGACTTCTTAATTTTCGCTCTCTCTTTCCAAGGACCTCTGCGTATAATGCTGCTTATTACACAGTAATTTCTACAATTTTTAATTATTTCTTTAGGAAATAAAAAAATGGATTGTTTCTCATTACTATCTAATCCAAGAAGCACAATTACGCTCTTTTCTGTTGATATCTTTGACAGCACTGCACTGCCGTGACATAGACGGAACCCGCCTCTCCCTGCACTCCCAATGTTGAGTATCAAGAAAAAGTGTGCATGTAGTACTCTGATCAGTTGTTTTCCATGGTTTCTCCTTTCAATATGAGGCAAATGCTTTAGCAATACTCTGATAAATGGACAATGCACTACCTACAACTTTTCCTTCATTTTCCTTGTGCTATTGTAACCTCACACTTACTACACGCACTACACTACCCCACTTGTCTTGAGACCAGTCGGGAAGTTATGAGCTTGTCCTGTCTGGGTCAGTACTCTGCTGGAGGTAGATACCTGGTGTGGGAAAAACCCGCAATTCAACATGTAGGCTGACACTAGATATCACCATCCAGCAGGGGAAGAATATAGCTTCCTCCCGTGATTAAAAATATCCACTACACTCATGGGACTAATAAACATAGCAGTTGAGTTGCCAAGGAACATAAAATAACCAATCAATTATAGTACTTCCATTCTTGAGCTTTAAACCGATGTTCCATGTTACCATGTTCTAATTTTCTGTCTCCAGCCACATAATCACTTTGGCAATAACAATAGAATAGTTGCCACGTTTCTTTAAAGTTCATGTACAATAAGGACCAAGCAGTGATACACAATCATTTCTTTATGTATTATCATTCATTTATACATTTATTGTTTATTACCTAAATCCAGTAGTACCAGTGTTAAACTGTAATAATACAATGGGAGTAATTGATTGTGCATATCTACAAATGTCTTCATAATCAGTTCCCATAAAAAAAAGTAATTAAGTAATACTTTCTCCCCAGCTTCCCATCTTTTTTAAATTTATGTGTGGCATTCGTTTAACTTGAATCATTAAATAAAACTGGAGGTAAAGAAAGAGGTGAACTTTCTTTATAAGGAATTACAAATTTACCCATTTACTTAAGTATTTGACTTCATTTTACTTCTCGTACATATGTATGGAATAATATATGGAGTATAGAGAAAGTTAAGTATGCAACAAGAAAGGCGATTTTTCAGCAGAAAAATTCATATTGTGGGGCCCTGATACACAATAAGTGGATAAATCATATTTAATATGTGGCAAATTACTCCCTCTGTCACGTTATGTAAACAGATTTCACGAATGGGGAGTCCTTGATGTTAGGGTGGATTTAAAATATTTCAAAATGTCCATCTGTTACTTGTGAACCACTCTAGAGCCTAAAATATGAGTAGGATGTTTTCAAGCTGAATTCTCTCTCCTGTCTATTTGATCTCAGTCAAAGCTCTGTGATTTGAATAACCTTTCAATTTTGGGGTTACTTTGTACATGATGTCTGATACATTTTCAAACTTTTCTCAACAATGGCTCCAAATCTTTTCTTTAAATTTCTTATAAGAATAAAGTGAAATACACATACAAAGGTGATGTGGGTCAGATTTTCTCTGTTATTTCTAACATTTTGAAAATTGCAAAAGTTTGAAATTTTTTCTTGTTTTCTACAACCAAAAATTGATGGAAGAGATTTTTTCTTCAAATGAAATTTGTTCTCCAAAATTAGTTCTTTTATTGATGCCATGTAAATTTTCTTGGAAATTTTGGTAGTTTTCGTGAAATATTGAGCAAAATATGTGCAATATTAAAAGATATCAAAAATAGGAATTTCTCCAAGAAAAAGAGACTCAGAATTTTTTCTCTAAATTTTGGTTAGCGTTATTGCTAAACATATCGTAACAGATGGCATAAACACCACCTTGCTCTATTCTTCTTCTTCTTTTTAAATTTATTTATTTATACAAACAACCAAGGGACATTATTAAATCCAATTTAAAAATTTGGAATTTATCTTTGATGAAAAGTTTCAAAAAACCTACCATATAAAAAAACACCAAAACAAAACAAACAACAAAAACAAAACACAAAAACATACCAACCTACTCTATATTACTATTTTGCGTTCCTTGCTATTCCATTGTTGTATATTAAGATTTTTCATTTGTAAATTCATGTTCAAATAATGCAAATCCTGTGTCAGATATGCTTTAATAGGTATTCATAAAGAATTTACTTCCATCACTAAAATTAAATTTAATTGATACTAACTTCTAGGCATTTTACGTTATTACTAGTATTGCAATACCATCCGCAGTGCCAAGTTTCCCACCAAATCACACCTTCCTCTAAAGATTATCCTAACGTGAGGAATTAGTAAATTCTATATTATATTTTTCTTTAATATTATTTTTGTGTTTCATAATCATCAGGAGAACTCTGAGGATGAAGAGGATGAGGAGAGAGAATTTGTGGAACGTTCAGATCTATCAGAAGAAGGATCTGATATTGAGGTAAGAGTAATGACGTATAATGCAGTTATTTTAACATCTATATTTCATGCTTCGCTTTCTTTTCATTTCATATTCATTTCTAGTTCTCTACAATTACACAATAATGAATTTGACTTGGAAAATCATTGTAAAAATGTTTCTTGGGGTGAACTCATTTCCCAATTATCAGATTAGTGAAATGGCTATTAAAATTATAATTTTGTAAACTCTTTGCTCTCCAATGTAAAGTTCCACTCAACATACAGTTTTCGTACTTTTCTGAGATCCAAATTTAATAGAATTTCAATTGGACACACACAGCTGTGAAGTAAGCTATTAGTTGATACCTATCATATCCATTGTTGTATAATTTCATATTGTTAAACAGTTTGTTAGCCTAGTAATTTTTGCTGACAATGCAAATTGGGAAAGATAGAATGGCTCTGCTGGAGAGATGGGTAACAATTTTATTGTTAGCATTTCTTATATACTGTACTTGAAACATTTTCAATGTTTAAAGACAGCCAGTTGATGAATATTTGCGTTTTCCTTTGGAAAGTTTTAAACTTCAATTAAGCAGTAAATAAAAGAAGTATAGTTTTTTTTTTCCTCAACGTATTTCTGTGGGTGCCGTACCCAAACTCGGATTTCTGGGACGGGGGAGGGTGTTATTCTGGACAAACTAGCTTTGTTAAACCTGGAGACTGTAGAATATGTTTCATCTGTGAAGTCTTTCAATATTTTAATTTCTCAGCCTTTGGACTTGCTCAGGTTGAGCACTAATTTTCTGGTACTGTCTTGTTTGTCACAAATAAAGCACTAATGTAAAATGGGTGTCCCAGTTTACTCTCATACATATTATGATCTTGGGCAAGGATTTCTTATGCTGTTTTTCTACATTTTTTCCCATATATTATTTCAATTTTTGAAATTTATTTAATAACATTTGTGAGATCTTTTAAATCATATTCATTTGAAATTGTGTTCTTTCAGGATATTACTAATGTATCTAAGATCAGTGAGAGTATGCCTGGCACAAGCAGACAATTTTCAAGAATTCTACGACCTCACATTGAAATTGAATATGAACATGAAATACCTGAACGAGAGAAAGAATGGGCATCGTGACACTAAAATATTACTGTGTAATGCATCAGTGTTAAATTAATAATAAGCAGTTTATTGAAATGTAATTATGGAAACTGTATGATCCTAAGGCTTGTTATATATGCTTCTATAATATCATGCGAAAAACACTCTTTTAAAATAAAAAATCCTTGAAACAAATAAGTGGTAAAGATTTTGTATTTCAATGTTTATATAAGAATATGCAAACCAGGCTTCTTAAAAATGTACAAAAATTGAAGTTACATTGAATATTGTGTGCAGCGATGGTATAATGATTAGCATATCGGATTGGTATACCCAAGTTGGTGGGTTCAAACCTGACCGAAGCCGTGGATTTTTAAGGGTGAAAAAATCATTCGTACGCCTTCCTTCGAGAGCGGAAGTAAAGCCGGCTGTCCCATGTTAGTAGATTTACTTGCATGTAAAAGATCCTCAAGCCTAAATGACACCTCTGAGATAAATTCAAAATCGCCTGTTTCTCAGCCAAGAAATACCTCCTTCCTCTACTAGTTGGTGAAATTTGCGTGGTCAGACAGAAGAGCGGACCTGATGGCCCGAGTCTCGCCACGTAAAATAAGACATTAATTCAATTCAATATTGTATAAAAATTTAATTCCACATTTTTGTAAAGACAGCTACCCAACAGGTATATTGGGATTTACCAATCTTCTATTAGAGTTGTTTAAAATATACTGCATAATTTCTTAGATGAGAGGTATAATTCAAAATGAAAATAGCTTTTCACCTAAATGAACTTCACAACAAACTGTTGTATTTGTGTATTTTGACACAAATATGAAACATTAAAGAAATTCAGGTAGAAATGTAATTTCTAAACAGCTATGCAGGATGGAATAAAGAAACTGAGAATTCATATTTAAAAAATGCAGGTAATCAACTATACAAGAAGGAAAAACATTTTGTGGGTATAGAGAAAGGGTAAGGAAAATCATGGATGAATATGGAGAGGCAGTGTGGTGCCTGTGTAGTCTATGTTAAACATAGTGATGGTCTGGATAGAATTCTTGTAGACTTCAAAGATTTATATTCATAGCTTGTAACAATGTGAATGGTCTGAGTGGGAACAAACTCAACAGTCTTATGTTACAAACAGGTTGCCGAAACAAATGAGAATGGGTAGGTTTTATGGTGAACGAAAGTGAAATATTGATGTGAAAGGCTGTAAGCTGCGTAAAAATGGTTAAAATAAAAACTTAATATTCTAATAAAAATAATTATTTAATGTGAATTAATTTGCCATTACCAAGCCTAGATGTTTGACTTATGATGAATATGAAAAGGTTAAGGATCGTATTTATTACCTAAAATATGTGGGAGTATGACAAAAAATATGACTTAGAAAAATATTTTCTTCAGTATTTTTAATGTATTATTGAGTGGAAAAACGTTTCAGAATAATAATTTTTGTTACCAAAATCTCTCTAGTAGTGTATGATGTTTGTTTGTTACCTGAACAGCTAGCAAATTAATTCCAATAGTTAAAATGTAAGAAAAATATGAATAAAGGATAGCATATCTTTGCAAATAAAATAGCAGTGTTGCTAGTTGGACTCTAGCATTTCTCCCAACAATATTTCTGCAAAAACCACCAACGCAACACAAAAACTCAGAACTTAAAAAATATTTTTAATGTTTATAATATGTTTCAAAGCATGTACGAATGCATATATTAAATAATAGAGAAATTGTTTCTTTATGCAGATAACTGAACATTTTATTAGGCTCTCCCATGTGACAAAAATATATTTCTACAATCCCTTATTTTTTGAAGTACTTGAAATCTTTTTGAAAATATTTCACTACAAATGCTTCCGCAAATTCCAGATACCTTGAAATGTGGTAAATAAGTCCCAATTTTGCACCTATTAGAAACCATGATTAATATTACGAGTGCTATTTAAGTGTATGCTACTCCTTAAGAAATAAATTTAAAATCAGTAATATCACATTTTCACTAAATGTTATCAGTTTTCATGGTTCAACAAAAAATTGTATTTCTAGGAATAGGTTTAATGGAAGCCTATTTCCGATCAGTGAATGAAAGGAAAATGTATGTAATATTAAAATGATTAGTAAGTAATTAATAAAAGAAATGACTACAGTGGAAGTACAGCTGTTTTATAGTTAAACTTGGTTATAAAAAAGTTTATTATAAAGTGGTTTAGCCAGGTCAAGACAAATAAAATATCCCATTGAATTGAAATGATTCATATCAAATACAGAAAAGTGAATTTTAGGTGTGATCCAAATTGTAGACAAGAGATTTCCTAATGTTTTATATTGTGAAGGTATGAAGTGGTGATGTAATTTAGGTGAAAGATATGAGAAACTGTGATGAATGTTATGCTTTAGCTCCTAAATAAGATGGAGGATATTTTGATTGAATCCTTTTGCAATCCATAAATGGACTCAATAAAAGATTATCTATTGGAAGATTCTAAGGGTGGAACACAATTTACTAATCATCAATTTATTCTCTTAACTCTCCAGAGAATTTTTCTCTCTCCAAGAAAGAATTGATGAAATACTTTTACAATTTGACAACCAGCTGTCTGAAGGATTACAATTTTAATTAACTCCAGGAAAAAGATTAAGTTTCCAACAGTAGGAAGGTAAAATTCTTGAGATTTTCTTGTTTCAAAGTTAATGTTTTTTACTTCCTCATATACGTAGTGTCACGTTTCTCGGTGGTGAATTAAAACCCCCACACACAGGTATTGAAACAAAAACGTTTATTTCGTAATCAATTATACACTAAAAACTACTTCATCTATTTACAGGTATATTACACAGTTTTTGTGTTCTTCACTTGATTATTTTTTCCTTACACATGAATCCGTTCTCTTGATTATTTATTTACACTGATCTCTGCAATCTACACTATCGCACAGTCCTATGCCCTGTCCACGGTCCACTGTGCAGACCAGGGTCCATTGCACTGCTGTTTACCGCGATCCACGCTTCGCAGCTCAGCTTCCACTGCAGACTTCAAACTCCTGACTGCTGTTCCCCTACTGCACCACTGTTCACCGCAATGCACACTTTACAGCACAGCTTCCACTTCAGACACTCTGTTGGACTGACTGATTACATACACTAACTGACTAGCGGCTGCTTACTTCCGACTACTTGACTACTACTGACTCGCGGCAGCGGTGAATTTATACCTGCCCGGCGCTCGGCTCGACACAACTAGCACTTGCTCCACCTTTCCACGCTACTCGCGAACGGTCCAGTTCGCTGGCAAGGGGCGCCGTCAGATGACGCAATCCAAGCATATGATGCAATATTTGTTACAGTATTACAGAGGAAATTATTTATAGAAAAAATCCTCTAACACGTGGTGTAGCCAGAAACCCTGTTTTGTGGGTCCTTGATATAGAACAATCAATTGACAGCAAACCGTCCATCCGTCTGTGTACACCACTAGCACCTAAACCATACACGATTTTTTTCCATGATGAAGAAACCACTGTCGATCTGGCTCAAGTCGAAAATTTAAGATTTTGGAAAACGTACTTTAAAATGTGGAACATTTTTAGGTATTTTCTCAAAAACTGTACCTACTTTATTCTTTAAATTCCTTGTAAAAATAGTAAAAACACTTACAAAGGTGGCGTATGTCCAATTTTCAGGTTTCACCCTGAATTTTCGAAAAAGTTTGCGTCTGCCTACAACTACAAAATTGTAGATAAAGATTTTCCCGTCAAATGAAATTTATTCTCCATATTTAGTTTTTTCAATGAGATAATGTACATTTTTTTAAAACGTTTAGTAGTTTTCGCGTAATATGGGCAATTTTAAAAAATAACAAAAACGAGATTTTTTCTTTAAACTTTTGGCAGGGATAGTGCTAAATGTACTCTGACATGTCATCAACGCAACATTACTCTTGTTTTTGGAAAAATTGCAAAACTACTTTTTTGAATAGCCTCTCACGTCGTTAATATTTGCATTAGCGGCGATTTGTTCACATTCTTATATTTATGAGTACATATGCTTAAATTAATGTCATAAAGTTTGTCGAAAACTCGACCGTTTTCTGTAAAAACTAACTTAAACTTCCGCATTTTCACAAACACTAAAACGCAATTTTCTCAAAAACTGCTCCAAATTTTTTCTTCAAAATTTTCAAACGGATAGTGATAATTGCACTCTTTAATATAACCTGAAGTTCATTTTGGGGTATTTTATTTTTTCAAAAATTACACAAATTTAATTGTTTTGAAAGATATTTTGCTATTAATATGCTTATTGCCAGCAATTTGTAAACACTATTGTATTTGTGATTTTCAGGGCTTCAAATGCCTTCTAGTAAAGTTTTTTTGAAAACTTCCTGTGAAAAAGGGCTCAATTTCGAATTTACGGTAGCGCTTAAACGACATTTTCGTAAAAGCTGCTTCCATTTTTTCAAAGAAAATTGCCATTTAGTACGATGTTTTACTGTTCTTTAATTTTTTAATGTAGTTCGTTTATATATATATATATATNNTATATATATATATATATATATATATATATATATATATATATATATAAATACTATTAGGAAACCGAAAAATTAAGAAATAAAAAAAGGTACTTTGGGCACAGGTAGATGGCAGCTGGCATGAATATCTGGTAAATCCGAATAGCTACCCGAGACCAAAGGAAATGCAAAACTGATAACGGAAAGTGTGTGCCATTCTATAGCACCACTAGTTAGGTTATGTATGTGCTTCTAATTAGCGGGTAAGTTGCATCTGAATTTTTGTTCGCCTTAAAAAAGTACTTTGAGATGGGCATCAATGGCTCAGTAGTTAAAGCGCCCTCTAAACCTAATCAATCTTTGGGTCACCTTGTTGGACTGCGTGGAGGGTGGGTAGCTTGGAGACGAAACCGCGGTTTCGTATGGAGCAAAAACCAACCCTTTTGCCCTTTTTCTCATGAAAGAGGCGATGTAGTGAGCCTCTTGATATAAAATAGTTTGTTTTTTTTCTCATAAAAGAAGAGAAACCGAAGAAACCACGGGTTCTTCTTATGGCGTACGCAGAAGGGAAGACTTTCATGAATGTGAGCGCGACCCGTCCCCGTCTTGCGCGAGCCATCAAGGATTCTTTCGAAAAACTCCCATCAGTCGTGCGATAAAGGAATGGTACCATTTTCTTTGAAGCGCGCACCGATTATCAGATACTCTAAAAATTAAGCAGGCTGCCGACCCCCAGGTGGAAGTGACCACTCACCCTACTATTAACCTTTATAAGGGAGTGGTCAATCATGACGATTTTGCATCTGAAGGTGAGAAGGAACTCTCGTCCTTCACGAGCCAAGGTGTTACCGAGGTGTACAAAATCAAGGGGAAGGAGCATAGAGAGAGATCCCCACTCCCACCTCGATCCTGACGTTCAATCTCCCACCTCTCCAAGAGGATTAGTTGTGGATTTTATAATCGTGTACGGCAGAATGTGCCTAACGCTCTGCGCTGCTACACCTGTCAGAGGTTTGGCCATACACAATATCAGTGCATGGCCGAAAGCCCTTTTTGCGCAATGTGCGACAAATCCACGCACGATCCAAATCCCTAAGCAATACTACATCGATGTGTGAAATGTGAAGGAGATCATGCCGTCAATTGTAACAGGTGCCCTACCTTTCTGAGAGAGCGGGAATTTTAAAAGATCCGACTGACGGAGAAATTGTTCGTTCCTGAGGCGAAATTCCGATACCTGGTGAAAAACCCAATAGATTTCGCTCGTTCATTCACCAGTGCCGTAACCAAGACGATGAAAATAAACAGCGAGTTGCCACACTTCACCTGCTGCTCCCCTAGTAGCGCATTTCTGCTGCCAGGGGTCTCCATTGGACTGTCTGTCGGCCTTCCATCCCAGACTCTCACCTAAATGACCGCTCTTCCAATCACTTACCACTTGCTCCGACTCCTGAGGCTCGCTCTGAGCGATCACTCAGCTTATCCAACAATGGTCAGCACTCTGCCTCGGAAGAACCTTCAGTCGGGGTGGACACTCACCCGTTCTGGCAGCAACGAGCGAAAAGGAACTAGTGGTGCTACAGAATGGAACAGATTTTCCGTATTAGTTTTGTATTTCCTTTGGTCTCGAGTAGCAATTCGAATTTATCAGATACTCGTGGCAGCTGCCATCTGTCGCTGCCCAAAGTACTTCTCTTAATTTTCTTAATTTTTCGGTCTCCTAATAGTAGAACTGTTATATTATTTTAAGAAAATTAAACAACAGTAAAACCTCGTCCTAACTGGCAACTTTCTTTGAAAATTTTGAAGCAGTTTTTAAGGAAATGGCGCTTAAGCGCTACTGTAAATTTGAAATTCGAAGCTCTTTTTCACAGAAAGTTTTTGAGTTTTCGAAAAACTCCACCAGAAGGCATTTGAAGCACTTTAACTCACAAATACAATAGAGTATACAAATTGATGATAATGTTCACATTAACGACGAGAAATAATTCAAAACAATTACATTAGTGTAATTTTTGAAAAAAATAAAATATCTCCAAACGAACTTAACGTCATATTAAAGAGTGTAGTTATCACTATCCGTTTGAAAATTTTGAAGAAGAAAAATTGGAGCGTTTTGGAGAGAATCTTGTTTTTGTTATTTTTTAGAATTGCAATAAATATTGCACGAAAACTACTAAAATTTTCAAAAGGCGTACATCACCTTAATTATGGAAAACTAATTTAATTTGAAGGAAAAACATCTATCTTTAATTTTGTAGTTGAAGGAAGACACCGAAAAAAATCATACTTTTAAAATTCAGAGTCTGTGAAAATCGGACATATGCCACTTTTATAAGTGTATGTTACTCTTTTCTTACAAGAAATTTAAAGAAAAAAATTGGAGCGGTTTTTGAGAAAATATTGAAAATGTCCGGAGGGCTTCACGGAATGTACCAGAAATTTTAAAGAACGTTTTTCAAAATCTCAATGCTTCGAATCGAGCCAGATGGACACGGTTTTCTTCACTTTGGAAAAAATCCTACGCATGGTTTAGGCGCTAGTAGTGTTCACAGACGAATAAGACATTCGGACGGTTTGAAGAGAGAAAAAATCGGTATCAGTGGTGTATTTTCGTTGAAATCTCGAAATCGATTTTCCGCAGCTTTACATAACTCTCCCTATACTACGTATATTACTCTGTATATACGTACGTATACGGAAAAGCAAAAAGGGAATGAAAAATACACATGCACAGTATGACTCTCCTAACTTGGAATTTAAATGGTTTTGCTCCCGACGGGACGAACTCAAACTCCTGCTGTCCCGTTTCAGGCCTTCGATAATCTCTTGTCAGGAGACGCATCTAGTTCCATCACGGCCCCTATCCTTATGCAGTTTTACCCCGGGTAAGGTTCATGTTGATGACGATCTCCGCGCACACGCCGGAGTTTCTACTTTGATCTACGACTCGCTGCTCTCTATAAATGTTCCAATTCGGATCGAGCTTCAGTGTGTGTGTGCACCTCCCATCCCTCACGCTCACCGTCTGTAACATTTACCGTGTATCCGCCGATGAACTCGTTGAATCTTTCGAGGACAAGCAAAACTACGTGAAATAACCGCAGACAACAATGTGGGACGTACGACGAACATATCCTTTACGATAATGCGGCAAAATTTGACTTTATTGGGATATGGCAGCAGAAGACCTACTCGAGTGCTTTCACGACATCGCCTGTAGCAACCTCTCCTGGGCTCGTGAACCTATCGATTGGACCCTAGACGACTGGAAATCCGTGGCTTAGTCAGATGACTCCCGATGTTGGTGTGGTGGTTATGATTATGAGCTGATGGTGGGGTTCGAGTGTGGCGTAGACCCAATGAAGCCATAGGCCCAAGTTGTCAACAAGGCAATGTGCAAACTGGTGGTGACTCCATAATGGTGTGGGCTGTTTTTGTATGGAATGGACTGGACTGGGTCCTCTGGCCCAACTGAACCAATAACCGACTGGAAATGGTAGTGATCACCTACTTGGAGACAATATGCAACCATTCATGGACTTAATATTCCCAAACAACGATGGAATTTTTTTGGATGACAGCGCCATGTCATCGAGCCACAATAGTTCGCGATTGATTTGAAGAGCATTCTGGACAATTCGAGCGAATGATTTGGCCACCCAGATCGCCCAACTTGAATCGAACATGTACGGAACATAATCGAGTGGTCAGTTCGGGCACAAAATCCTATACCGGCGTCACTTACGCAATTATGGACGGCTATAGAGGCAGCATGACTCAATATTTCTGCAGAGGGCTTGCAACGACTTATCGAGTCCATGCCACGAGGAGTTGCTGCACTTCGCCGGGTAAAATGAGGTCCGACGCGATAAGATGTATCCTAAGACTTTTGTCACATCTGTGAAGATAGCATTAAAAAGAAAACAAGAGCTTCAATATTGAAAGAGTGGGGCTGGTTGTAAAAATATGAACTTTTTCAAGATTCGAAATTTCAGATTTTAAACAAAATTGGACATACGCAATATTTTTTAATGAAGAATTAATGCATTCAGAATGTAATCACTAATTAACAAACTTTTTAAAATAAATCTGATTTATATATATATAAGTAGACCTACTTTACAACCCTACAGCATATGCTGAGAATTTTGATTACAAAAGAGATCGAGATGGTTGTAACTTCTTCATTTTTGAAGAGTTACTTCTCATTGTTGAGATACTTTTTATTACCACAGAAACACAAATGTTTTAAAATTGTATGTAAAATTTTAAATTTCAAGTGCATTATGACTACAAATGAATATGAAGAAGATGAAACCATAAAAAAACCAAAATACTTTTGCCCAGAACCAGAGACTTTAATATTTTGCAGTCCACCTGTTGACCACTCTTTTAAAAAGCTCTCTGATTTAGCAAGTTACACTGGTATGAGAGAGTATTGTATATACTATTCATTCACTTTTGAACAATTGAATATTCTTAATAGTGTATCACACAAATATTCTGACTAGATCATTTACTTTAAAAAAGAAAATGAGGGCAAACAAGAATGATAAAGAGAAAAATAACTTTAATGAATGAATCTAAGAAACCTACATGCAACTTAAAAACATTTTCAACACATGCACACAAACCATTTCATTCAATATTCCTGCTTGTACAACTGAAATACTTTGTGTATTGTTCTTAGGTTCTAGTAAAAAACCAAGGGTCTGTCGACTTGGTCGCCTTCCAGACAGAAGTTCAAACAACCGTTTTATATCCAGATCCCTCTGGTTAAATAATAACAGATTAAAAAATTTAACTGATTTGTACCCATTTGTTGAGAAGTTCTTTGATCAACCTGAAGCATTAGGGTGGCTAGATTTATCCTTTAATGAATTTTGTGATGTATCTCCGGTATGTATTACAATACATTTCTTTCTCTTTAAAAGTATTGCTTAAGTTTATGATAATGAAATAATATCTATAACACAATGTTTTATGATATTAATTTACAAACAATTAAATACATAATTATTGTCTTTTGAGAGAATTAGTCTATTCATATTTTGCAATTTCTGGATTACAGGAAATTTTGAAATTTCCAAACTTGAGGATCTTATATTTGCATGGTAATAAAATAAAGGCTTTAACACCATTGGCTACTTTGCGTGACGTTCCAACATTACGATACCTTACATTACGTGGTAAGAATGAAAAATAATTTCCCTATACGTAAACTGTGAAAAATAACAATTATTTGAACATTCATTGTTTTTGTTTTATATTGTACATATTGTCATTATTTTGCAAAAAGCATGAATTTTGTTGATACTGATAATGTTTTAACATAGCTACTGTTTATTACAGGTAATCCTGTTGAAAAAATTTTGGCATATCGCTTGCTTGTTATTGCATTATTACCTCAATTGATTTCCCTTGACTACGCTCTAATAACTGATTATGAGCGAGGCACACGTATACCTGAATGTGCGGGTAAAAAGATAATAGACCAATACAGACCTCAAGCAAAGCATAAAAAGAGTTTTTAACAACAGGAAGTGCTGTTTGCTTAAATGGTATAATATAACATTACATCATGTAAGGTAAGATACTCAACGGGATTTAACATTTTTATTTAATCAATTTATGTAAACAAAAGAAATTACAAAATTAAATTAAAATGTTAACCAGCTAATAATATTTTTTCTTTAATCCAATCACATTTTAGATCTTCTTTTGCAACGTCCAAACATATATCCTTTCCTAGAATACATCTGCAAATAAAAGAAAGTAATTTCTTAATTTTCAGAAATTTCGAATTTCAAATAAGACTACAAATATACAATTCATTATATTCAACACACAGAACACATACAGAAATAAAAGAAATTATAGTTTGTAATAGAAACTTTCATAAGGACTTTTGAAGAACTTACTTGGCCTCAATGTCCACTTCATCAATATTTTTAGCAATTCCAATACCAGCACGCCATTTTTCTACTCCATTCCAAGCTATCATTACACCATTATCAGTGCATAATTTTGGAGGTGGAATTGCAAGTTTGTATTTCATTTCACGGCACACAACCCCTAACATCCGTGCAATGTATTTATTACTAGCAACACCACCTGATACTACCTGACAAGCATGTAATATATGATTGCATTTCACACAAAATGTTTTAATATAAAAGTAAATATAAGGTTATAACTTTCAATTTATCTGATTTCTGTACACACCAAAACTCGGTTTGAAGGTGGCAAGAGACATTTCAATTCAATGTACTCCATAGCTCTTTCTACTCTACGACACAAATGTTTTGCAACAGCCAACAGGAAACTTGCACACACATCATGAACTCCAGGTATAATTCCATCTTCTCCTACACCTGAAATCAATCATTATTTTTACCTTGCATTAGAGCATAAAATTGTGAAGGAATATTTTGAATACCATTACCAAACTTTTCTTCCTGATCTATTATATGTCTTCGTGCTTTATTTTTTAACCCAGCAAAACTAAAATCACAATCTCGATGGTGGCTCATCACTGCAGGAAAAGGGAGAGACAATGGGTCACCCTGCTGTGCAGCTAACTCAATCGCAGCACCTCCTGACATATTACAGAAATTCGGTCTGTTGCGAAGCTTCAGGCGTCGAGCAACCTAATTAACACACCGCGCTTTAAAATATGTCACTAGAAACCAAATGTAGCAGACAGCTCAAAAAGATTGGAACCGATAAAAATGAGTTTCTCAATACCATAAACCCATCCTATTCATTTTTTAAGTCAATACTCTACTGCTATATGATTCTTGAACTTGATTTGAATGACCAGTGTTTGAAAACAAATATACACTTTTATCAACAACATATAACTTTGACTCCAGTAGTGCCCAAAATACTTGTACCACAAGTATCATTATCCAACAGCTTTTTCTTTCAACAAAAAAGTTTTTATCGGTTCCTAAGCGCTGACTCTTCACTTTACCTTATCAAATGCTTCTCCAGGAGCATCATCCCTGCTTTTACCTAGAAGAAGAAAATCATCCACATTTCTTGCAACTGCAAGAAGACAGTGCCCTCCAGATATTAGCAACACCAAAAAGGGAAATTCTACCTGCAACAATTCAGTTTGTAACATTTCTTGAGTGCTTTATATGGATAAAAAATAAATAAAAATCAGTATCCGTTTACCACCTTTTGTACCATCCTAATGGTTAATGCATGAGCTTCCATATGATGAATGGGAATAAAAGGCTTTTGTGATTCAAGAGCCATTTTTTTTCCATACTTCATCCCAACAAGTAAAGAAAGAGACAAACCTGGAAAAAAGATAAATTAATAGAAATTATTAACTTTAAATTTGTCATACACTAGTTGTGTATGTGGTTGGTTCTGAAAACAGCCTCCAAGTTTATATTGTTTTTCTCTCTCCATCTGCTGCAGAGCTTGGTCCTGATATTTGTGTTTGATCTTTTATGTGTTTCTTCAGTCAAAAGTTGCTTGTTTATAAACTCGGAACTGTATTTCTATGATTAACGGTTCACTCTTGTTCCTTTCCTTTATTTAAAAAGAAGAAAAAAAAAACAGCTTATGTTCTTCTGGTGTAAAGCATAGGCTATTGTTTTTACAACTACTTGAAACTCTTTAGTAACCACACATTTTTAATAGCCAGGGCTCGAATTCTGATGATATGTCATCATTTAATTGGTGGATTGAAGATGTAGCTAACTTGCAAATGAATGTTTATCATGATGTATGGATGACAGAAATGTATAGTAATTGAGCCTTTTTTCTGTTGTCATTTTTTGCCATTTTTCAAAATTTAGATATTTTTTGGACCTTTGCATCATTCTTGTCATTTTTATGAGTTTTGTTTCCTTTTCATGTTCTTTCGTTAATGAATGTTTCATGAAATTACAATGACTCATTAAAACAATTTTTTATTGCATCATCAGTTCGTGACAAAAGTCACTAATGCAATGGACTCTGTTTTTCAAACTCTCAATATTACATGGATCTTCCGATACTTCCTCAACCTTTCGAAACTTAGAAGATCAGAGCTAAGGCTTACACTTCCTTGTAAAATAAAGACTTTATATTAAATATAATTTTGTACAAATGAATTTTATTTAAAATTGTAAAATTCATTGAATAAAGAAATATTTTCATACAATTTTTTTTAGCATTTTTTAAAAAATTATGCTATTTTCCTCCTTATTTTTAAGTTATTTTATAGGTCATTTTCTTCTTATTTTTAAGTCATTTTCAAAGAATTTTTAGATCATCAGAATCCGAGGCCTGGTATTAATATTCTCCTCCTGTTGGCTTTTGCTTAATATTTATAATGGAGACTCAAAAATCAAATAATTCTTATAGATCCTTCAAGCAATATTTTAGACAAATTATAAAACAGTAAGAATTCAAAAGAACACAATGGAGAACCAATCAACTTTCTGGAATAATAGGACACATATCAATCTTTTCTTCTTTTCATTTTTGAGTACAGAATTAATTCCCAAACAAAAGAAATTAATTATTTAATTCTTTAAAGCTGATCACAATAAAACACAACAAAGAACCCTAAATGAAATGAACTGAAAGAAATTTCACAACTGCAATTGAAATGTTAATTTAAAAATTATATTTATCAACACTTACCTGGTTTTACTGTTGTTGCAATAGCATCTACATCTTCTAATTTCATATTTGCATTTTTCAGAGCACTTTGGACTACGTGTTCAATGTTTTTGAGATGCAAATCTCTAGCAACTGGGGGAACAATTCCTCCATGACTGTAACAAGGATAATCTCTGTATTGATGACCCATACATTAAGTTGACATTCTACGGAAATAAAACGTAAAATGTGAAGAAAAGCTTTTCATTTAACAATAAAACCAACAGCAGTTTAGGAAAAATGTCTGGTCTAAAGAAAATAATTCAAAAAGCCCTTATTGATGTGGAAATTTAGCTAAAATCAAAGAAACAACTCAACAAGATAAAGAACTGAAATTTTCCGATACTTCTATAATATTTTTTGATGAAATTTAACATAATTTTCATCACAACTGAAGGTTTACATAACTAGTTACATGGTTTTGTTGAAGATGAAGGCAGCTCCTGTTTTAGAAATGTTGGCAAATTAGGAAAGAATATTCTAAAAATCTCCCTTTCAATCATTCACAGTATGCCTAGTTTTTAGGCATGTATTAGCACATTAGTGGATAGTAACAAGGTTAATTGGTCATTGATCTAGTATTCTCAAATGTAAACATAAATGTAGAAGCACAGAACACACCAAAAGTAACTGATCATGTCTGGGTAGAGGTTAATTCAGATTACGAAGAAAAAGATTGAAGAGAAAGGATTAAAATATGTAAAAAGGCTATACAAATTTTGAAGTTCAATATAGAGAATTATTAAGATTTAATATTAGGCAAATAAAACATTGAAATAATGACGAGATAAGTGAGGAATTTATAAAAGCCATCATAAAATCCCTAGATGAGGTGACATCGTTTTAAATGTTGAAGATGCATACTGAATGGAATGAAAGAAAATGGTATTGTGAAAAAATAAAAACGATGCGCAAAAAGAGAGATGAAGCATACAAAATATCTCCGGTAACAAGAGAACCAGACAAGTGGGAAGAGTTCAAGAAGTTAAGAAATGTAGTTAAATTAGTTCAGACCTCCTCCAGGAGACACCGCCTTAAAGTAGCCCTGACTGTGCAGGTGAGGAGGTTTGCATGCTCCCATGACGCTGAGGACTACATAGTTGAGGACAGGGCTACAAGTGTTGATTGGTTGAAGAATCGATTAACATTACTACTGGTAGGGTCACCCAAGCTGTACAGACCTCAGCGACGGAGTCAGACGAACAGATGTCTCTCAATGACCTTTTGGTTCCTTTCCATGTCATTCTGCTCTATACCTGCATCTAATGCCGACCACACAATGGTGACCCTTGTTGCCAGGTGGTACCCGTTTCTAGTGTGACACTGCCAATCTATACTTTGTGTTATACTTCTTTCATCTATTCCACTTGACTTCTCTTGGTCCCTTGTATTTTGACCCTGAAGCCATTAAGTTTCAAGGGCTAGGGTGTCATTCATCTTTTTTTCTTGTCTGTTTGAATACTTTTTTCTTTTCTTCCTACTCTACTCTTCAATTTTCTATACTGAATTCATTTCTCCTAAATTTGGGTAGCTGAACCTTGATAGTCATAGAAAACAGCTTGTCTAAGAGAAGGAAAACCCTGGTCCTCCGAGCAGAGGATTGAGGTGATGGGCCAGTTCCCCATTGTTTTCCATGCAAGTTTCTATTGTCACTGATCACTAGGAAAAGATTCTTCTTAAAGAAAGGCCTTAAAATTACCACAAAATTGTTTTTAGTATTCTCATTTTCTCTTAACTATTGAAAGCTGTCAGCTTGTTTGTTTAGTTATGGTTGTTATCTCTGTTGGATAACAAAAGATCTACTGCTCTCAGCTGAATCCTTCTTGCACAAAACAAAATATTTTTTTGCCACCACACTGTGAATATTTCTAAAACAAACAATGGTGCAGCTGCTATCCTTATTGCACCAAACTCTTTCCCGACTGTGTATTCAGATTCACTTCACTACACTAATATATTATGAGATGGTAACAATTTTGTTCAATACAAATAATACACAACAGCAATACAAAATATAGCAGGCCACTGCAACAAACCAGAAATATTTCCTAACAAGAAACATTCTTCTGATTTTCCCATGCAATATCCTATTCTCTGACATTTAACTATCCTTACAAAAGAAATTATCAGCAATCCTAACACGTATGTTGTAAAATTATTAAATACTCTTATAGCAAATAAATAAATATCATTCCAAATGCATGTGGTTTTCAAGTATAATACATCAGTTCAATTGGCATATGTGTCACATTAATATTTAATGCCAGTCCATTTTTTTTGTCAAAGAAACATCAAAATTGACTATAATTTGTTTCTTGACCTGTTAACATTGCAAATTATTACTTTAATTTGCATACCCAACTTTTGGCACTCATCAGAGAAAATGGGTTATCCTGTTCCTGTTTATGCTGGTTCAGTAGACCTAGTACTTTAATTCCTAGGTGATCCTGATTTTTCTATCTCTTTAAAGTTCTTCAATGTTTCTGTTTCCAACTGGTTTATATTTCCACATGAGCGTTGGTAGTCTGTTACCCTCCATCCTGCAAATGTGTTCTTTCTATCTCTTTGGTGATTCTTCAATTTTTTCTATTAGATGTTGTTTTTTTGTTTTCTTCTGATGACCTTGTTTCTTAACCTGTCTCTTTTCGTGACTCTTAAGAGGTGCTTCAGGAATGTCGTTTGTGCTGCCTGTATTTTCTGCTTGTTGTTTTCCTTCATTATCCATTTTTGTGAACCATATAGAAGCATCGATTTAACTGTGAAGTTACGAAGTTTGAATTTTGTGGTAGAACCCATATCTTTCCCAGTGCCTTTTAATGGTTCCATACATTCTGAAGTAATTATGTAGTTTTCTCTCGATGTCTCCTTGAGTGTGGTTCAGTACATAAATTCTGATTCCTAGGTAAGTGAATTTCCCCATTTATTTCAATTTCAACTCTTCTTTGTTTCTTTCATTGCACTGCCATGGATTTTGTTTTGCTTCTTGATATTCTAATGGAATATTCCTGTCTAACTTTTGATAGTTCAAAAATTGCCCTCTGTAAGTTGTCTTCGGATTCTGCTACTATTATCTAGTCATTTGCGTACAGGATTGTGTCAATCTTTCTATCTCCTTTGATTAAAATTCCCTGGTTAATCTTCTTTCACCAATTTCTTATTAAATTGTTAATATAGATGTTCAAAAGAAACAATGTTAAACCAGTCTCGTCTGAGGCCACTACTAGTTGTTATTGATGTTGTTTCTCCCCTTTACTAGCAGTACTTTTTTTCTGAATTTCTCATAAAGGCTTCGTACTGCTTTAATTAAACGATGTGGGATTTTCTCCTCTCCCAAGATTTCCCATAATTTCTTCCTATCAACTCTGTTGTATGCTTTTTCGTTGTCAACAAATATTACAAACGTAGGTTTACATATTTTCTTTTATCCGTGAGCATTTGCAACATGAAGATGGCATCTTAAGTGCTCTTAATTTTATATATTGCGTTATATCATTTTAATTATTCATTATTTAATCAATGCAATGTGTCTGTTAGCCCTTGATCGCACATTGAGAGCTTATTCCGGAGAAATCCTCCATGAATATACCTCTGTGTTCCAGATGGGGCTGTATTTATATAATCTCATCTCGTCAGTTTGTCAAGAGGACGTCCCCTGTATCACAACCCTGCAGCCAGAATTGGGAAGGAATTAGGAAAGGGGTAGTGTTTAGGACATTTCACAGTTGGACTAGCTCCGGTGAAGCAGGCAGACTCGTTTTGATGGAACAAATTTCACATGAGCTTGTCCAGAAATTAAACCCAGACAACCTTGGTGAAAGAAGAGTGACTGCTCTGAGCCACAAGAATGCCTTCTGAATATTCTCTGAAGCCACACTGTTCCTCACTCAGATATTTCTCACTTAATTCTGTTCCTTAAGATATTTACATAAATCTTTGAAGTTGTTGATGGTAATGAGATTCCCCTGTAGTTGTTGCAGTCTTTCTAAGTGCCCTTTTTGTGAATATTATGATTAGTCCTTCCTAGCAATCAGTTGGTATTTTTGTTTCTTGCCAAATTTTATTGAAAAGTTCAAGTAAGGTTTCTTTACAAATATATTGAGTTCTTAAGTTCAAGGAGACACCATGTTAGAAGTTTTCAATGTGTACCATTGAAAGTATGAAATTACCACAGCATATGTAGAAAACAATTTTAAAAATATTTTTCTTGAGCATACTAATAATTAGACAAGATACTGATACCACAAAAACTGTTTAGTACTGAAAATCAGCCAGGTCAAATATATACCTCCATTTCAAATCTTTTCACCTTCCTCCGAGTTAAAACATCAAGCAATCAATTTCAGCAGCCCTGAATTTCACAAAAACAGTTTAGAAATTCTCAGATCCATATTAATTAACAATTCTTTCTATTTTAATTAGTTACTAGCATGTTTCTCAATAATAAATCGAAGGCAAACCATAAAATAAAATAAAGGGTTGGGTGTGTAAAGTCCTGTGCAGTGGGTGTAAGTCTGTATACATTGGACAAGCAGAACAATTTAACAACACAAAAATTATAAAAAACTTCAAATCACATGGTATGTGTTTATTGAACATGCAATCAACAACAAATATCATTATATTAACACAAATGAACAAAAAATCCAGTAAATTACTTTATAATTTTATGTTTCTTCATTTACAAATTCAGAGGAATAAATTCATTAATGAAATTGTAGGTATTACTGTAAATACATTGATAGTTGCAGCAATACACTTGTTTATTTCTAAAGACAATTTTAATGTAGAATCAATAGACCAAAATTTCTCAAAAAGTCATTTCATGCAATTGTAAATTTGCAAACAGTAGAATTTTGTTACTACAAATTCCATTTGGTATGTATTTACTGTTGTTCCACTTATGTCAATGATGTTTTTGATTTATAAGTTTAATAATTTGCTGTTATTGTTTTGTGTTATTGGTAGTGAAGTTTATTGATTGTGATCACAAATTATAAATCTGTACTTACTTTAGTTTAGTATTATCTAAAATTTAATTTGAGGAATATTGTTAATTACACATGTACAACTTACTTGTGTATTTCATATCATTATGGAATAAAATGTTTCTCTTTTCCTTATAGACAAGAGTTTGGTCATTGTCTAAATAAATAATATTATAATTATTATCCAATGCAACTAAATTACTTCTCTTGAGTAACGTACCTCTGGCTTATATTTGTTTTATCTAAGACATCATATTGCTACACTTCCTTTTGTATTTCTTAATCTTTTTAAAATTTTGTAATCACTATGGAGTGGATTTCTTTGATTTTGTAAATTTTTGTCTGTTACTTCAGGGCATAGCTAAGTGAAATTTCTTGACATTTAGTTATAACTGGATGCTAAGTAGATTAATATATTAGTGCTGATTTTTCCTGTTGGTGCATATTTGTATAATTATAGGTATTTAGCATATTTTACATATTTAGCATATTTTGTTAAAAAGGAGGCTTGTCTATTCATAGAATCTATTTATTTGTGAGCGATCATTGACTAGAAAGAGCTTGTCACAGTTTGCATTGTTGTTGCTTTTCCCACTCCCTAAAGATGATAAAATATTTGAGCAAATGCAGGATATTTCTTGATATCATATTTTTTAAACTACACACAATGCAACAGGACATACATTGTACTTCATTAAGGTGAATATTTACTTAAATTATTTCTCCTGAAATGTAAAGTAGATTATAATATGTTCATATAAAAATATATCTTTTCATTCAAAGCATTCTTCCCCTGAAATTTTATCAAGGATTATACACGAAATGAAATATTATGAATTTTAATTGCTCACCAAAGTGCTTCTTTTATTTTTTAGATCATAAATGCATATTTTTAAAAGCATATTTCAAGATTTGTTTACGGCATAAAAAAATTCCTTACTTTAGTAATCATAATACAGTTGTGTAAAAATGGCGTAGTCTTCAATAAATATTTTGTTCGAGATGGTCAATAGGGAGTTTAACACACAAAAGAAAACAGAATCTCAAATAAAAAATCAAAAAACTGATATTGGTAGTCTTACAGGGTGGTCCATGAAATATCAATTTTAATATTTAAGTGTTTTTTTCCAGACCAAAAATATCATTTCTGAGGTGGAATATTTTTTGTGAGTTGATAAGGGTTACATTATTCTGGATTCAATAAAATCTAAGTAGGATTAATGAATTAAATGATGAATACACACTTTTGTTATTATTATTAAAGCCCCCTGTACACAAGTGTTGCGTTGTAGAATAACACTGTATCTTAAGCGAAACGACATGAGTACCTAGGCCATTCCGCATAAGATACAGTGTTAATCTAAAACAAGGGATATGTATCTTGTGTCAATAAAATGCTTGTGTGACACCAACTTTGTATGATTTAAAGTATTTTCAAAATTTAAAAGATTCCTTTAAATGCACAAGGCTTTAAATTTGGCTATACCTCTTGGAGATTATTAATTTTGAAAAAATATCTGAAACTTGTTCATGATTAAAGAAGCTCTTCCTACACTCAAAGGCACAAAGGGAAAGGAGAAGAAGATTAAAGAAGCTCACAGTTACTAAGTTTTGACTGTCTTTAATTACTTGTGTGAATCTCATTAAATAGTAATATCGGACAATAACTAGGCTACCTTTAGTTGACAGTAATTAAATAATGAAAGGTGTACCTCTCATCAAGATAAATTAATTTCATTTTATCACAATTTTTTATTAAGCCCACTTAGGATAGCAGTTGGACTTTGGCAGATGTAACAGAAACAGCAAATTCTGTAGATATCTTTGGTTTGGTATCTAGTCTAGAACATCTTAACTCTCTTCCTAGGGTTTCTCTTATGCTCTTATTTATAAAAATAATTTGACTATCAAAAAAGATATTCTTTCAAAATGTATATTTGGTGATGCCGATGCTAAAAAAGATTCTTTAAAGTTTCAATCAGATATTCTTTTTCTGGGAACTTAAATTAAGTTTGATCGATTGATTCTGGGCATGCCAACAGCCAAGATCATTAGTCCTGTAAGTGTAGTATATGTTTTTGTCATGGGAGGAGGCATTGATGTTCCCCTGCTGCATGGTACCAACCTGCCAGTCAGCTTGCCAGGTTTTCCCCAATATAGTTTCTCCTACCAGCAAGGCACCGCCCCATTCAGGGCAAGTTCTAAGCTTGTGACCGTGAGGCAGTGTAGTGCATGTAAGCATAAGGAAGGAAAGATCGCACACAGTTCATGGCCTGTTTCTTAGGCTATCACTCAGGCATTTACCTGCTATTGATCAAAGAAACCAGGGAATACTACTGATTAAAGCAGTTGGCCACTAGAATTCTCCTCCAGACAGTGGCTGAATCTGACCCAGCTATCTAATCAGTGTCGAAAATCTTGCCTCCATTGGGTCTCGAACCGTAGGATCCCCTGGTCAGAGCCTCTATAGTGAAATCAACTGATGCCCTGAACCGCCTAAGCTGGCTTAAATTAGGAAACTATTTAATGCATGAATATGGAATAATTAATTGATGATGTAAAACAAAGTCATGTATTTTTGGATTTAACGATATAAAATATTTTAAGTAAATTAAATTTTGTAATATTGTTTGCGAATCAGAAGACAATAAATATTGGTGGGCACAGCCTCTATATTGAGCACTTTTAGATTCATTGAATAAATTTTAAATTCTGGTGATATAGAGGTATTCAATATTAAACAGTAAATTTGATTAAAAGAGAAGTTTTTAACGAGCTTCAAGTGTCTTTTTGCTAATGATGTGTAAGCAGCACAGTTATTTTTCACAAGTTACATCTTAAAATTAATGTTAAAAAATGTGGAAATATTTCATACACCTAGCATTGGGCTAATGGGGATAATGTACATTTTTTTATTTTTTTATTTGTGCATTTCAATTACATTTTGGAGGAGTTTCCTTCATAAACCATGTTTGTGTATTTCTTTGTCTGCAAAATGTTTTAATCTAATTAACTTACTTCTTTTAAAAAAATTTTCATGAGAAGTTCATAAATGACAACTACTAAATTAACGTGGCATGCCAATTTACAATTATCTTGTGAAAAAATTAAAAATAATTATTTGCAAGTAGTGAATTCAAGAAGAATTCAGTTACTATTCTCTAAACAATGTAATTATAGATATGAATGACCTTTTTTTTCAATCAATAAAATGCTAGGTAGAAATAATAAATGGGAGATAATTTTACTAAGTTACAGCATCTCTTTTGTTCTATATTAATAAAATTTCATTGTCTCATTACTTTAAATGGATTTCTTGCTGGGAATTCAAAGCTTCTCCCAAAATGTTGCCTGAATCATCAACAATTGCACAGCCAGTATCATCACAACTTGTTTCTATTCCCAATATTTTGCATTGATTTGTTCGACTATGCGCAGTGCGATGTTTCACTCCAATTTTCTTCCGGGCAGACTCAGATACACTAGCACATTTCCGCACACTCCTCAAAAATGTCAACATTTTAAAATGAAATGGTCTTGTTTAAATCTTCATTAATACCGCGCACGCTGCACGTAATAGCAACAACTTAACCAAGAAAACCAAACAATCTCACCACATTCACAATATAAACTCACAAACTCACTTAGCTTCAACACATAACATTTTGGTGTTCACTTTGGTACATACTGATTTGTTGGTATTACAAACTTTATAATAATATCTTTTATTTATTTAGGAGAAAGAAAAGTAATAGACAAGTATTTGATTCTAAAATCTTCTTCTAACACCTAAAATTAAAATATTAAATTAAATATGTATTATAAAGATATGTTTCTCTGTTCGAATAAGGTGATTATGTTCAGTGAAATTCGTAAAAGTATTGGTAATTATGAAATCATAGCAGGGGAACCAACTTGCATGCTCCCTAAAATCCCCTACAATCATTAAGGCGATAAGGAAACCTGCGCGTTCCCACTGCAAGTCAGCGCGTTCGTTCGCTCCCTGGCTGACTTTCGCAGCTATGGTGGGGTGATGGGGGGTGTGAGATTAAATGAGCAATTCTTGGACGCAAAAATATGTTCCCTTCACTTACACGTGTTTGAAGTGAGACTGTGTGAAAGAAGAGTTTAGATTGTGAATGTATTATGTTGATGGTGGTTGCAGCTAGCTAGTGTTTCGGTCTGCGATGGAGCTCTCTGAAATCGTTGGTCAGATAATACTTGGCGTGAAACGTAGCAAGCTGTATGCGTGTACAGTGTTATAATTTATCATGCTATCTGAAAATGTATTCGTAAATGTTTTATCTCTTCAGTGTAAATCAGTGAAATAAGTTTGGCCGAAGTAGTTGCTGTAATCATGTCAGACAACAAGTAAGTGCAATTTCGTAGCTTTCAGTTATTGCGTTATTTAAGACGTTTCAAAGCACAACAAACGTCGTATGTGCATTAAGAAACAGAAGGTACAATTATATTTTTCAATGTATGTAATAATTATTTCTTGTAGTAATTTTGTAAAAATACCTACATTAAAATTCTTTCCCTGTTCACTTCTGTAATATTTTGTATTTATTGGAATTTGTCAACTTAAAAAGTATGTAATTAATTGCTTTTTGTTATTTATTTAAGTAACATCTCTAAATGTATTTGAAGGCCTTTTCAAAGAAATATCAAATGTATTTTTTACTTTTGGGCAATGTTTTTGGTAGGTTTGTGAATGACAAGAAAACATTTAGACATATGAAGAGGGCAATTTAAAACCAATCTTTACTTCTAAAAATAATGAAAGTATCTTTCAGTACTTGGTTTGGTTTCTTGACAAATCTATATTGTATTATATTGTATTGGATGCATTAGGCATATTTAAATAATAAATAGAGAAGGATATCAATTTTCTGAAAATATTAAATTATAAATATTCTGTGTTGACTGACATTTGAACTAAGGTGATGTTAAAAAGAGAATATGTGATGAATGTATATATGTAAGAATTACTGAGAGTGGTGGAGTGTTTGGTTAGCAGTATGATGCAGCTATATAATTCTTGTTCAACTAATTTATTTTTGATTTGAATATAATTTTCCTATACACGTGTTGTGTTCTTGTTTTTTTAAGTACTTCCTTAAAATTTGTTCAAAGCACATTGTGACATCATAACGTGTTCATTATTGTTTTATGCCTAAATTTTTAAATGCTGCTTGTTTTTTTTATTTATAGTGAATTGAGTCTCTTGGGTGAGGATTTGGGAGATGATGACTATGATCTTGGAAATGAAGATGAAGATGCTCTCCTTGCAGATGATTACGATGTGCAAGTAAGTGTAATTTTGTATTGTATTCAACCTCTTTAGCTTCTTTTCTTTGAAATTGTTTTTCCACCTAGCAGTATTCTTGCCACCATGCGCTATAATTTTGTAGCTTTACCTTTAAAAATTGAACAGTAAGGTGGCAGAAAAGTGCCCAAAGAATTTGCTCCACACATCATTGTACACAAAAAAAAGTTGACTTCTTGTTTTATTTACATAGCACTTTCCATTATTTGGACTGATTGTTCACCTGTTGTAAAGGTTTGGGCGTTAGTTAACGGAGTCTGATTTCAGTGAAGTCAAATGATTAGTATTTGACAAATTACATGTACATACATTGAAAAGGGGGTAAATACTGATGCTTACTGAAGATCAGGATTTTTAATTCGGTTTCCAAATGTTTCTTTTAAGTAATGAATTTTCAACATGATTTCTAGTAAGTTCAGAGTTTTGAATCTCCAAAATAGTTTTCTTGAAATTGAAGTTTTGGTGCCAGAAAATTTTGTAAACTGCTAAAACGTAACATACTAGAGATTTCATCTTTCCTTTCTGTGATGAGATCAGGATGAGAAACATTTTCTACAACTTTGGTTCTGAATCTGCAAATATAGCTTGGCCTTTATTCTGTTTTGCAACTATTCCTGAGCATGCATTAGAGTGGTGGAGCTAATAACCCTTGGAGACAACTTTGGACTTGCAACATTTCAGAATGTAGTATTGCCCATTTTGATGTTGATAAGGAAACAACTTGTGCTAGTTACATTGTTGTTGTTGTTATTATTATTATTATTATTATTATTATTATTAATTATTAGTTTCATTTGTGTGCTATGAATCCTAGACGCTCAGGGATTTCTGGACAGATACTGTAAATTTCCATGCCTTTCTTATTTTAATAGGTTTTCTAATCTTTATGTGGAAGAGAAAGAGAGTTGAGGGCTTTCTGCCAGCCCTTAAAGTTTCTAATCATTGCAAGCGGGACTGTGTGTTGTGACTACTGTATGTGAAAATGTTGTCCTTATAACTAATCCTTCTTTTGAAATTATTTGTTATTAACTTTTGACATGTTATTCATTAAATTTTGATTGCCTGATTTCTTGATCTCTTCAAAAATGTTTGATTACATCAGCTTGTACATATTTCAGAACCCTTTGGGTTGGTTGCATTGGTTGTTGCCATTATTCAACAATAAATATTGATGCATTTTCCGCGCACAACGTTGCCAGTGTTGCGTTTAAAAGAAAGACTATTTCCTTCAAAGAATCTTAATTGTCTTTTCTGAAATTCCTCAGCTGTTTTTCAGTCATTTAGAGAAATGATACTTGTATTTTAAAATGAAGTGTTTATTCTCCTATTTTTGCAACTCTGCTGCTGACAGGTATTGGCTGTTGACAGTTTCATCCAGTCGGGACCCTGAACATCACCATAGTGATGTCATTATGGTGATGTTCAAGTTACCAATTGGATGAAACTGTCAACAGCTGATACCCACCAAGGACAGAGTTGCATAAATTGCAGAATAAGTGAGTATTAGAAATGACAGAACTCGGGACCTCTTCATTGGGTAGAAATGATTATTAAATTTTAAACAATTTATTTTATTTACATTTGTTTCTTCAGACATTACACTATCAGCAACAATTTGTTCAAGATTAGTTTTAAAAGACAGTTCTAATTTCTGTGTTTAATAAAAAGTTAATTTCTTAGAGAGAGAAAAAAATTTTTGAATTATGATTCAAATACATTTTTTAGTGTTTCTACAACCTTTTTTTTCTTCTTCTAAGGTGTGTGTGAACTCAAAATACTGTCTACACACGAAATATGATTCCATGTTTGAATCTTAATTGCCACAAATAATAAATTGTAGTATTAATCATATCTTTTTACTTTCTCACATATTACATTTCTGTAATTCTGCAAAATCCTACATCAAAATAAACGTAAGTGGTTTCTAATACTGAGGAAGGAATTTTACTTTCTAACATACTACTTATTTATTATAGAGAGAGTATTGTAATGCTGCTCTAAAAATGGTGATTTTCCAACAGAAACTCTCGTTTTGTGGGTTCCTGACACCAAAATAAGTGAATAATTTTTGTTCCCACATGCAGTAAATAGCTTCCTCTAACATGTTGTGCAATCAGAACCCATGTTTCATTGGTCTTAATACTGAAAAATTGTTTTACAGCAAATCATGTGTCTGACTGACTACTGACTGTCAGTATTCCATCTGCCAGTGTGTATCTGTGGACAACACTAGCGACTGGATTTTGATCTAAATGATATTCCCCAATTAAAGTGGCTGAAGTCATGGACCCCTTGAATTTGTTTATTTATTTACAAAATATATGAACAGACCAAGTAATTCTGATAATGTTCATAATTAAACAAAGAAACACATGGGAAAGAAATATAAAATGAAAGTATGTAAAAAGACGGGAGATGATAATCAAGAAAGAACAGTATAAAACTGGTCCAAATGTTTAAAAGAGTGAATGTTGAGAGCATTGACAACAATGACAGATAGGAAATTTCAGTGATCAACGAGTCTGTTTTATAGGAAAAACTTGTCATAAGGATTGCGCAAAAAATTGTCTTTGTTCAATTTGTAATTGAGACCTCGATGGTGGAAGTTGATATTGCAGAGTTAGGAATCATTAAAACCTGGACAGTTGTAGTGACTTAAGTATTTTATTCATTTCAATGAGATGTTGCTAAATCCTGTCAGTAGCTGTTGACAGGTGGAGTGCTTAAAGTCTCTCAGGGCAGGAACATATCTCGAGGATTTCCTCAATACACTGTCTAAGAGAGTGAGGTCGTGGGTAAAGTATTGCGTCCAGATGCAGTGACCAAATTGAGTTATTGTCCTAATGTAAGTAGTGAAGATACTGCGGAAAAGTTGAGGCGTCAGATATTCGAAGGCTTGTTGACTAGATAGGAGACTGTTCGCTTTTTTCGTCGCATATTGAACATGTGTGCTCCACTTCGGATCCTGTGAGACCATAATTCCCTGGTCAGATTGAAATGGAACATGCGGATATATATTAGTTGTTCAGATGATAGCGTTTGCACGTTTGTTTTTTCCCATTATGAATAGAACACTTCAGTGGATGACAGTGAGCATCCAGTTGTTTGACTATTGAGATAGTCGATCGAGATCATCTTGAATATCAAGCCCGACTGGATTACTGTAGCATTTCACGTTGTCGACGAACTACTCATTGGGGGATACAATCAGGTTACAGAGAACTGTTATGTCAAGTAGGAAGAGGAGTGGGCCCAGGACGGAACCTTGTGGAACACCGCTGAGGATAGGCTTTTCGGAAGAGAGAAAACCGCCAGTTCTCACTTGGAAGTTCCGGTTCTGTAAAAATGCAATAAAACCTCGTAAACCCAGGTGCTCGAGCTTGAACTGATGATCTTTATGGGGGGCTCGATCGAAAGATGTTTCAAAGTTAGTGAAGACGATATCAATTAGTTAGCCGCCATTTTGCAGTTTGGTCTAGTCGCCCAAACATTTCAGTTGGTTGGAGCAGATAGACTGCCCGGATGAAAGTCATGTTGATTGTACGGAAGTACATTATTGTTCTTGCAGAAATCCAATATTGAGACACCGACTACTTTTTCCATTACTTTAACGAAGGGAAAGGCCAGTGAGATAGGGCGATAATTTCCTGTCACCTTGTATATAGGAATGACTGTCGTTGAGAGCCAAGCCGGCAGAAGGTAACCTTCTTTCATGGATCGTTCAGAAATGTTAGCCAAGGTTGGACTAAGTGAGAAAGTTAATTGTTTAATCAGAAAAGGATTGATCCCATCGGGGCCTACAGAAGTGTTATTTTTGATTTCTGCAAGATGCTTATGGACCATTGAACAGGGAAATGGACATCACAGAATGGCCTGAGTGCGTGAGAGAGCTATGTTGACTGATAGGCCTAGTACCTTCACGTACGATAACGCTGCTGAATTGGTTGGCGAAGATCTCGGGAATCACGGTGGGGTCGGAGGTCATAAGGCACTCTGGATTAACTAGAGTTCTAGGCGCAGCAGTTTCGTTGACGTATTCGTTTCGGTATTCAATTGACTTATGATATTTGCATTTTTTTTGGGGGGGGGGAGTGGAAAATACGAGTTCCGCTTCATAATGTGCACGTTGGAAGTAAATTGCAGAGTTGACGTGATTTCGCAACATTTTGTAGAGAGCAAGTAAAGTAGGGTTGTTCCTGACCTTTATATAATTAATCCAAGATTTCTTTAGCGCCGCTGTTGAATCGCAGGTGTCACCAAGGGTTTGTTGTGCAGGACTCTTCTCTTCCGGTTGCGAATGAGGTTTTTTAAGTCAATTGTAGTGAGGATAGTAGTTTCTGGATTCTTCCAGATGTCATGAGTGGTTTGGGATGAAGATGGAAGGTGAGCTAGATGTTGGGAGAGAGTGGTACGGGCGTAATCAGCTGTGAAAAAAATCTGAAAGGAAGCTTGGTGGGTTGGACAAATTTGGCTGAAGGTGTACGGTGCTGGACTTCCGTAACTAGGTTATTCGTGTTAGAATTAGCTCTAGCAGAGATGCCTGTTGAGTTCCTTGGTAAAGAGTTAGTTCACTAATCAGTTGCTGGAGATTAGTGGTGCAATATAAATATAGGATTTTTTTGTGTGAAGTGGTGGTACTACCGGCCAGGAACTTCTAGTTAATCTTTGGGTAATTGAAGTCCCCAAGAACTAAAAGATTAGACTCGTCGGATGCTCGTATCAGTTTGTTGTTGAGAGGGTAGAGTTCTGCTGCTCAGATACATGTGGAAGACGATAGGACAAGATGGAAGTAGTACCAATAGAAATATTTAACCATAGTGATTGATTAGTACGGCGTGTCTATCTCAGAAGATATAGTTGAATAATTGTCCTCCCGCCACAAAAATATCTTTCCTCGCTCTACCCCGCGAGCTTTTTAATACAAAAAGAAAACCTTGGAGGCCTTCATTGGACGGGAGTTAAATTCAGAGCCAGCATGGGCG